AAATGTGCTGCGAGATTCACCGTGAAGACTTGCATTGGGCAGGCGGTGTGGGCCCATCAATGTTTGGAAGCTCTCACCTTGGATTCGGGCGAAAGCCAGTGACAGTCGAGACTTGTTTCGTGGCATGCTCTCACAATCTGGCACATTCGTGACATTTTTTGCCAATTCGCGTTTCAGGTCGGAAAAGCTTTCAACACCTTCTTTGATTGTCCATAACACCAGGGAGTGTCTCTACAGCATGGAACCTTTCACGCAAGAATGACGGTGGCATGCTTGCTGCACAGCTTTCACCTTATCAAAGTCTATCAAAAAACGAAACGTTTGAGTCTTTTTGCCTGATGCCCCTGCCCACAACTGAGGGCAAGTACCTCCATGCGAATCAGCAAACAGCCCGGAACAACAGGAAATATAGAACACTAAGCAAACGCAAGCTCCACAACAAGCCACACCTTGAAAGCATGTATGTATGGGCTGGGAACCAATCAGCGCAACCTCCATAGTCCCGCCAAGCAAGCCAAGGGTCTTCATCAGCTCAGCCGGACTTGGTTTTGTCTCATGCAACGCGAAGGATCGGGTCTCGGGTGTAGGGCGATCAGAAAGAATAAAGGATTTGGGGCTTCGGAAGGCACCAACTTATGTGGAGCTGTTGCAGGGGCGCGTGCAGCTAAATGATTCTGACCACTAGCCGGGACTACGCAGTATAGCCTGGCTAACGCCCCTTGCAGGTACTGCCAAACTCCTGGCGGCTCTTCAGGGCCGAGGCCTCCAGGGTCAGATGGAAGCGAGCCCTAGTCCGAAGGAAGGCTTGTTTGATGAGTAACGTGGTCATGGAGGCGCAGGAAGCAGCCCCGGAGAGCATGGCAACAAACATAGAAACGGAGATGCAGGGTACGAGACCTGAAGCGGAAGGCGAACGCGGCGCCAAGATGCCGCGTCTCTTCAGGGCGAGCTACTGTGCGACAACCCAATAATGTTTGCGCCTTATGCATCCTGATGCAAGCCACAACAAAACAACCAAAAAGCAAAAACCAGGGACCGGAGGAGCGGAACAAAGGATTGGGACACAAGACTTCAAAGCCACAAATTTTAAAAACTCTCTATCCTGATCGTCATCGGGCACGCCTTGCGCGCCGTTGCCCCGCGCCAAATCCTGGCACAAGGCCAACTTGCCCAGACATGAACAAAGAACAGCAATACTGATAATCGAAGAGCTGGAAGGCGCTTCGTGCGGCAACGTGTGATTTTCTCAAAATCTGCAACTCCGCAGCCTCTGCAAAGTCTTGGCGGTGGAAGGTTGGGCCTCAATCCGTTCAGGTGGCACCCACATCTACCCCTAAGGCCTTAAGCCAAAGCGCCAAAGCCAGCCAAACAGCTGAGCTGCACGCCAGCTTCTGTGCTACCTCGTCAATGTGCATCCAGGCACCCTCCGGACTATCCTTGGCTGGGCTGGCCCTGTTAGAAGAATCACGAGGTCCAGGCAGGCTTTAAACACAGAACTTGGCGCAAGTTGATTCCGCAAATCAGTTGTGCGCAAGGCTGGCGGCGGAAACACAAACCTTTAGTATTATCTCAGATCAGAGAGAGAGCCAAGCAGCGAAGAAAACGGTCAACGCCTATGCTGTTTGCGTGGGGTTGGGGTCAGGGCACTGCAGACTTGCTGACCAGCTTGGGACGTGGAAATCAAATCGAAACTCAATGCGCGAAAAGATATGCCGGCAGCTCCAAGATTCGAGCGCCGCATGCTGGTTAGGCATGGTAGGGCCGCCTGCCAGAGGAAACCAACCAAAAGGCAATAGGGGAGGTCGTCGCTTAGCGGCTTAGCGCTGCGACCTGCCGTCAAGATGCAATTTCGAAGTCCGACACCAACTTGCAAGCCTGTGAGTGTTTGTAACCGTGTCTTTGCCTGGCAAGCTGTGCTCCATACACTGAAATTACATGTCGCAAACACGATGTCAATCATCGACTTCCGATCAACCAGGAAACGTTTCAAGCAATCGGTCGACTAACTTGTTCACCGTCTGTGTGGCTTCATGGATTCAAGCCACACAAAGCTCTCGCCAGAGCTGCCTCTATCCAATCAAGCTTTACAGCTCCATTCGTTGCATGGAGCCCACAAAGTCAAATCTTCCCGCCACCTCGGCCACGCGACGGACTGCCTGCTTGGAAATAATCACGTGTCGGGCTCTCTTCCTGAATCCCTACAGTGGAGGAGAAGGAGGACGAGGAGGGGGAGCAGGAGCAGCAGCAGCAGCAGCAGCATCATACTTGACCAATGGAGATTGGAACATTTTTTAAAAGGCTCGCCTATGCGAGATAGATTCGGGTTCATTGGCACCAGATTTTTTCCCAATAGGTGTTTCCAGCATAAACGGAAAGTATCAGAGCAAGAATGATAGCAATCATGCTTGAACTACTCATGGTAGACCATCAATTTGGCAGGCTGTGGCGGATTGTGCCGCAATCTTTGAAGCCTCGCCAAGGCACCACAGGTGGCAGGTGTAGCCAAGTACCCAGACAGTCCAGGACGAGCAGTGATGGGAGAAGCATATCCAAAAAACCCTCCCATGTGCAAGGACATCATCCTTGGGCCGTGCCAAAACCGCGCGCCATGCTCGACCATGAACGACTCATTTCGCATGTTGTCCAGTGCTGCTTCAGGCGCCAAAAAGTTTGTGTGCGCCGGGCGCTTCAACATTACAAGTCTTGCAGTCATGACCCTGCGAAAACGCTAACCCCAACCCCTTGACCCCGCCCGCGCGAAACCCCCACACGCCCCTGGGCGCACCCCGCTCCCGAAGCGCTTACAGTAATTCTTGTCGCCACTGTCAAGCTAGGCTTTTCCTCATTGAGAATGCTGCGCCCCAATCTTTCCGACATTACTGGTCCTCACTTCTTTGAGGTAGATGGGCAGGCTTTCTGAGCAGACCCCTCACTCTTCACGACGTCTCCTTGGGCAGAAATCCCGCGCCTCGCGTCGAGCGATATTCGTCTCGATCTTTGCCACGATAAGCTGTTCCTGCTTGCCATTTCAACGTCAGGACGGAGGCCGCAAGGTTTGTCCGCGAGCCAAACCAGAAAGTACCAAAGGCATCCGAAGGTTAAGATACATTCATGGCTGCATGCCAATGCCAGGCAGGAAATGGGGAAGCGCGGCGGCCAAGAAGCCTGCCTCATATGCGGCCTTGATGCGTCGAACGATGGCCTCAAGTTAGCAGCAGCACACAAATGATAGCGCAACTGATATCATATTCGCCTGCCTGCCCAGAACCCCGCCTTTAACTTGTTGGCACGAGCCCGGGCTTCCGCAGCCTGCATCGGGGGGCTGCTACCACGTTGCAACTCTCATAACAGCTGCTGAGCGCCAAAAGTTGCGGCTGCGTAGCCGACAGAACATGTACCTAGCTTTCAAGAGGCCATGTCACCAGGTGAACCTCTGGAGCACTCAGGCTCAGTATCCCAAGGGTTTAAAAGCAGTGAAGCAGAGCAGACAGCTACATCAGAGCAGACTGCACCGGGCACGAAACCGCATCTCCATCGACGCCATCGACGCTGCGCACGTCGGCACTGGGCTGCTTTCACGTGTTAACTACCAAAGTCGCTACTAAAGTCTGCGGCACGTTCGCCAACCCTCCATCTTCGGTCTCTCTTTTCTTCTTACGTGTCTCTCGAGCAACTCTTTGCACAGAGCTTTGGCAAACAATCAAACCACAAGGACGCCTTCAGCTACCATGGTTAAGAAGCTACACTCATGTGTGCGCATGTTGATGCATCATGTTTCATAGTCGGCACTGGTCGCTTCGAGCCGCCATCTCACAACAGTGCAAGCTTCCTTCGTCCCTGTTCGACGCGCAATTTCATGCGCTCGAAACCTGACAAAGACGGTCTGCATACCCCTCATGCCCAGTGACCCTATTGCCCACACTGAGCTTGAGCTTCATCAACAACTACAGCCCTGCAGCAAGGAATACCGGTGTAAGCTGTGTGGCTGCGCAAGGGCGGGAGCCTCGACAGTGGGAGCCTTGATCTATGCTCCTGGTCTCAAACAGGCCCCCAGGCAGATGCGATTTAATCATACAGCCCCGTGCAGCCGATAGTTGCTGAATCCGGGGGGACCATGGAAGTGCACTCGTCGAGCCTTTTGCGGTACTTTTGACGAAGCGGTAGCTCCTGGATCACTCGCCTTGTTCGGCGCCTGCGCTTGGAAAAGCATTCTCCGCTTAGCGGACTAACGCAAGGAAGCATGGCACCCTCTGGGTACGTGCCAAAATTATGATCCATCTCAGCTCTAGTCTAAAATCCTATTATCCCCCAATAACCCCTCTAATTGTTTCCTATATACTCTCAAAAATACCCCCGTTTAGGTAGTTTAGACTATAGCCAAAAGTATGATGCGCTTGAAAAAGGTCCATCTGCCAAGGTGATCTTGTCCTTTGTGGTGCTGGCTTAAAACCTCAGCTCCAGACGCTAAACCCTAATTTTGGCACATACTCAACTGGGCACGTCCAGACACCCTTCTGAGAAGGGAATCTTGGGGTCTCCAGAAAAAACGAAATTTATTCTCTTGTGCGCCATGGCTTCTGCGAAGCCGGACTCACAAGCAACAACATCTAGCTTCCAAAAATCAAGGTTTCTGTTTGGAATGCCGGCATGCTGCGGACACAAGATTGCAGTAGCTTGGGTCACATAGGGTGGGCGCCCTTTTTTGGAAACCTTGTATGCAAACCGTTGGCCCGCATATCTTGGAATGGGCCTGCTACAGCCACAGCAAAAACGTGTCTTGAATTCTAGGCCGCCAAGGGCCCCAAGTGAACTCTTCAACCTGGATACTCAGAATCCCTAGCCCCCGCAACCCAGAACCTTAAACCCCTCTACAACCCTAAACCCTAAAACTTCTAACAATTTCATTCAGAATCCATAACCCCCTTACCCTAGAATAAAGAATTCTAGAAGCACCCTAAACCCAGAGAATCCCCAAAAAACTACAGGCTTTGGAAACGGCCTCACTTCGGCTTTCCCGGAGGAGAGCTGGGGCCTCCAAAGTTCAACGTTCACAGTTTCTATAGGTGTTCTTTTTGGGTTAGGACTTAAGTAAGGTTTTGGGGCTTAGCGCTTAAGATAGGCTTTAGGATTTGGGGCTTAGGGCTAAAGATTCAGGCTTTAGAGTTTAGGGGCTTTGGGCTCAGGATTTCGGGCTCAGAGCCTAGGCCTTGAGATCTAGGGTTTAGGGTTCAGGGTTTACGGTTCCGACTGGTGGTCTCTTGCTGAGGTTTCCAATATGCATTTTCAATATTAGGGGGCGAGGGGTTAAGGGTTAATATATGGGAAGGATTATGGCTCTAACAGCATAACGACATGCCAATTAGAACCTTACCTGTCGTGACCCAGTAGACCCAATGGCACAGTGTTGCGGCTAAGCACTTGCAAAAACGTCTCACCCACGTGTCCTTCTGCTGATACTAGAAATCCTGCATGACCTTAAGTACTTTACACCTGGGGGTATGGTAGTTTAGTATGATAAGGTCATGCAGGATTGATGTCATCAACCGTATCCGCACACGGTACGCGCCTCCGTAACCTACAACCTTTCCTTCAAGGACTGCGTGCTTAGGTAATTTGGCAAACCATCGCGAAATCCGTCACAAAAAGGTTCACCAAGCCCCAAAGGGCCTGGATCCCTTCAATCTAGAAGAAATGAAGGCAAAATCGTTCATACCTGCGCCTGGTATATCAAGGAATGGCCGCTCGAGCAGTGCAGCTTGATCCCAAACCCAAGACGAAACCTCAAACTCAAATACCTCGCAGCCTATCAGAATCGCCAAACGCGGCGACTGGCATGTATATATATATATATGTATCTATAACCCCTATAAAACCCCCTATATAATGCCTATATACCGCTTTTATTATCCCTATGTAATCCCGATCAAACCTAATTTCGAGCTCTGCCCTCCCGAGACCTTGACTCTCGCAAGTTGACCCACTGGCTTCCGCTTTCGGCAGACCTCTGCTAGGCGAGCTTACATGGGCCTCTGCGCTCAAAGCGACCTGGTAAGTTTTGCTGCTTTAGGTTTGGGATTCAAGGACACAACACAAAAACCCAGCAGTCCAGATTGGCAACCAAGTAACCCCCATATGCGATACATAGACGTCGCAACATCTAGCATGCCCTAGTTGGCATCGCCACTAGGACTACCATAATCATCACTAGCATGATTACGAGCCGTATCACTGCCCAACAAGCTGATACTTGTACTCATACCACACCTACCGTTGTTTGTCTCTTACTGCCGTAGGTGTTGTTTTGACTGTATTTCTACCATTGTAAGCAGCACTGCTGCTGCTGGTTTGATATTGCTACAAGAGTTCTCACGAGTAGTACTTGTCCTAAGGCTGAGCTTTATGGGACTCATGACTGTTTTGGCGAATGGCTCAAAACATGTCACGTCACTGCACATAACGCTTGAAGACAACTGCGCTGCTGATATGATGCTACTATGAATAATAGTTACTAGCAACATCAGGCAGCTTGCATGGCTTTTGCTTCTGAGATTTCTGCCAAACTGTTTCCAGGCCGGCACTGACTTCATTTTACCACTGACCGTTAACTTGAAACCAACAAGTCCTGTTCTCAGCACAGGGCCGAAGCTGTCGGCTAGGATGCTTGGCCGCGCATGCAGAAACCACGAGTACTATAAGAGGGAACAGGAAACGAGGGAAGTGCTAAGTGTGCTAGTCAGCGCTAATGCGGAGAAAAACTCCCAATTCACTAGAAGATGACGACGTCCCAGAAGCAGGCTGCCAAAACAAAGGTGATCGTGAACAAGAAAGCTGCGGTGAGTATTTCGGAAACCCTGATCCCATGGTCAAGAGCAACACAAGAACCCAGCACTGCTTTGCTAAACGAAGCCCTGGGAGATTTTTGAGTAAAGAAACTACAAATGAAAGAGCCTTACACATCCTGGGCCAGTCACATTCTCGAAGTTCCTTCAGCTGTTTCAACACGTCGTCCATCTTGTCCTTCGCTTTGGCAACTTGATTCAACTGGAGCCTTAAACCTTCCCGTGGTAGGTACTAGACATAATGCAATACAGTCCTTGCGACCCAGCCAACAAGGTGTGTACTATCCAATTTCTTAATCCTGTCAACATAAGCATGAGCAGGTGTACCTGGACCACTAGTCCGACACTGCCTCGGTCAAACATATGTGTTTTGGATGCCTGCACTCGCAGCAAGTGTTTCCAGTGCACTTGGACACAATGTCTGGAGGGGATGCGGGTGTGAAGGGGGCAGAAATTCGTCCCTCCTTCCATGCTTTTCACGGCCGTACGCTGTCTTCCTTCTAGATCCGTCATTCAGTCGACGGAGGCTTCCTACAACAATTAAGGTACGTAAATGGAAGTGCCTGATGGGAACGGCTGTGCTTCAGAGTTAGAAACCCGACATCGCTGAACAGAAGGAAGGCTTGGATCAGATGCTCTACCAGGACATGCACACAAACACCCAGAAGGATTGTCCCCGGAGTTTAGGAGACGATCGCTGCCGCTACTGCAGTGCCAGCCTACGAGCACCAGCCCCACCAAAAGCTCACGCAATCTCAAGACGGGCAGCGCACATACAGGACTTCTGTGGACAAGCAATGAGAATTCCATGGTCTAAGTTGGGTCATTCCCCTCCAAGTAGCTGTCGTTAAAGGAGCTTTCTTAGGGGGATGGTATAACTTCTGTTCTCTTCGCGGCAACAGTTACTCAAAGGGGGAATGACCTAAGGTCTAAGCCTAAGCAGTCTGAACCCAAAGGTCAAAGCATCAATCATATGAGCCAGCCCCTAGTTCAAAAAAGGGGTCCCCCTATACATGTTTAACCATATATCCCCCAACTGAAGTGCAATCATAAACCCCACTTGAGACCCCTATTTTTTTTTGGAACCCCCATATCAGCCTTCAAAGGTAGGGGTTCTAGGCACAGTCCCTGTCCCCGCCTCCCTGCCGCATACCCCTCATTTGCCTTGGCCACGGCCAAAATAGCACTCATAGGTTCCCACAACCCCAGAGACCAACCTCCCAACCAATTCGTTCATTTCAGACCTTTGCTCCTGAAAGTTAGCCTCCAGGTGAACTTTCTGTAGCATCCACCATGGAGATTATTCCCTAGATTGGTTGCCAGCGCATATAGTCCCCTTAGATAGAATATGAGGTATATGGGGATCTTATGCAAAGATCTTTCCTGGGAACCCCGTCTTGGGCAGGAGCTGGCTTCTATGCCTCTCATGTTGCTGCTCACCCCACTCCTTTCCGCTGTCTTCTATTGGATTATATTGGGATAATGGAAAATAAAATGGAAACTACTATAATGGGTTATATAGGGGTTATATAGAGGGTCTAGGATTTCCCATTGGGGTAACATTAGGGTTTTTCTCTAGTACCCAGGGATTCCGTGCGCGGTTCCAACAGTCTGGGCTGCATGTTCGTCCGCTCGGTTGCTCCTTGTTTTCTCGCCCACGTACTGGTAGCAATAGAAACCGGATTGTGGGTTGCTGTCAGCCATTCTCTAACAACCAACTGTCAGCAGGGTTGTCCTGGGGTGGATGCTGGCCTTGCATAGCTCTTCATGGTTTTCTGAGGTGCGAAGAAGCCCTTGTTGGGCTGGGCCCTTGACCAATGGCCCTTAACCCCTGTGAGCTCAGCCACCCACCACGCATTGAAGCCGGGCCGAGGCTGTTCCCGCGCGCAGCGCTTACAACAAATTACATACTATAGTATCTTACGATATGATCTAATATGCTATAATATACTATAGTATACGATGATATACTATAATTTACTATATAATATCGTATATACTACAACATACTCACTCTAAACCCTAAACCGACATTTGACGTCCCGCTGGCCTCAAGCTCTCCGTCCACAGGACGAACAAATACCCAGATCCCACACTCCGAGGCCCAGCGGTCGCCAAAAAGGCCGAAGACTGTGAGGTTCAGGATGTAATGAATGCCATGCACCTGGTATTACAGCACTACTCCCTGAACAAATCTTTCCCGATTTAGCACCCAGATTCCTAGATATCAAGTCAGGATGTTGTAGCACGAGACACAGTGCCCTTCAACACAACTTGGGCACATGCCAGACACAACCTGAATGATATTGGCATTCGCTTGCCGGTTTTGCACTCAAGACCTGGATGCCCAAAAAGACCTTCAGCACCAGGGCCACAAGCAAGATGGTGAAGAAGGCAAGAAAGATCGTAAGCGAGAAGACCAGCATGAAAGGTGATAGCAACAGGAAGAAGGGAGCCAGGTAGGGCCGGTTGACCTTAGTTGCACTGAAATCTCCAAAAAGTCTAGACAGACCACATCAACCCCTCCACAACCAACAAAGAAGTTTAGGACAAAATGGAAAATCAATGTCTTAGCCCAGCAACAACAGGTGTGTACACCAGGCGAGTGGTCAAGCGTTTAAATAACCTTGCTGCGTCAGGGAGGTCAGTTGTGTCCACGGGCGGGGCCAAGACAAATCGCAAAGGGACAAGAGCCCAGACTGCCACCAACGGACACCACCACCAATATGTGTCTAGTGCCTTGAAATCCTCTCGTGGACTACCATCGCTCTGAGGGCCCACGCTCTCCGTGGGCTCATGAGTCGGGTGACGGAGGAGCCAGTCCCAAAGTCTTCCAATCTGGGCCCAAGGCCGTCGCTGCTGCTCAAGGAGCATGCGTGCCCGCGCCTGTACGAAGAGGACCTCATTCCTTTCCAGTTGCTTGTCGTAGTTGTTTCCAAGAATGCCTGTCAACAGGTTCAAAAGCAGAACTTGAACGAATATGCCAGTGCCGAAGAACAAACCTTGCAAGTAGATGTAGGTCTTTACGTCAAGTTCTGTAGGCTCCGGATCGATCGGCTCCCACACGGACGCATTCTGTCCAAAGACGGTGTCCTGGCCCTGATACTCAAAGAGGTCGAAATCTCCGAACATGGCAAGGCGAATGGTGTGCGTGAATGCGGAGTAGACCGGATAGGTGTCGCCACTTCGGGGGCCCAGGATTACGTAGGCATGCGTGGCTGCCGCGATGCTTAACATGGTGACAAAGAAAAACGCCACAGTGTCTCGCACGGCTGTAAGGATCGGAAGAAGGTAAGGTCCAAGCCAACGTTCTCCGCGCAGGCTGTACATAAAGCGCAGCCAGTACCTTGGTCATTATTTCAAAGTGTTCTTAGTCGAGTACGTGAAATCCTTGTTATTGGATTTTTGTCAAGAAGTCACAAGTGATCAGAAGCATGTAAAATTGTGTCTCTGAAATGTCACAGGTGCATTCCACAAAACCAGGGCAGGAAGACCTGCAAGGGAGAGACACAAAGATGAAACACACATACACACAGGGAGACAGCGGCATGTCAGAACTCCCTGGAGGAGTGTACATGTTGAAGGGTCAAATTGGGCTGAACATTGTGCTGCTGCCAGGTGAAGGTGCCCATTCTACCCCAAACCAAATATGCGTACCACAATGGAAATCAAGGATGATCACTCTGTTGTTCGACTTTTTGTCACACCCAACACCATCAGCTAATTCCGCTTCCACCACCTCTCTCCTTGAGTCGCTGAGCAACGTACATAAATGGGTTGTTGTTCCCTTGCAACTGATTTCTCGCCAACAATGCGGCCGTACGACACCTATCCAATGGCCCTTACACGTTTAAGCCGAACAACCACGGTTCGTGACCAAGCTTGCTGACACCTCCTGATGGTTCGCACTGATCAAGAGCTTGCTTGGAGTGAACCCGTCGGTTCATTCATTCACACACACACACATACGTGCTTGAGTGCAGCCCATCAAATGGGCATTCACTCCATGTCTCGTTTTCTTCCAGCTTCCAAGATTGCCTACATCACAAGCCTCGACTTTCTCAATTTCCAACCTTTGCACGCCTTGATTTCACAGCATTCGAGATAGTATGCGAATCCAAGATTGTACATCTCTGGATCTGGTAAACGGAAAGATGGGGTGGAAGTCAAGCGCATGATCGGTGATCCCATACTTCTGCAACCCCCCGGCCACATCTTCCTAATTGCACAACACCACATCATGGACCTTCTGCGAGAAAAACTCTGTAAGCACCATAGGTGTGCGCCCGTTAACGCACAGTTTCAAAAAACCTTGAAATTCTTCGGTGAAGCCTCACTTTCTGCTTACAGGGGGCATGTAGCCCAGACCCAAAACCTCACCTTGCTTCTGAACCTAAAACCCTAAACCCTATATAACTCATCATAGCAGTTTACATTATCTTTTCCATTATCACTATATAATCCCGATATATACCCATATTATACCCATAATATACTATAATATATCCCCAAGATAACCATTCTCCATGGCTGGGATTGGTCTCCGGCCTTCTCGAGCTGGGGCGTCTCCTCGCTGCACAGCCCCATCTGGGGAACCTAGGTGCTACCGCCCGGGCTTGAAGCTTCGGAACCCTACTAGAACCCCAATATAACCCAATATACTACATAGTAGTTTCCATTGTATTTTCCACTATCCCCATATACCCTATGTTGGGCTAATCCGCCGACCCCGCTCTGCG